CTCTTCTCTCTGTTTTTGAAAACTTATTTTAAGAAAACAGCCGATCTAGTTTGGTTGGTCCATGATATGGGTCCAATAGTAGTGTAGTTGGATGGGGCCTGACAAGAGCTTTCCAACGATATATTATAAGCCCAATTCCGATGAATATTGAGGAAGTTATGACCAATTTACTAAACTGGGCCCGATTTGAGCCTTATATGCGGCCCAATGATTTAGGGGAGAGCCTAATAGGATTTATCATTCTTAATGCAATTAGGAATGGTTTTAGCCTTATAGATTCTTCTAGAAGGTTCTTTTCATTCCTAATTCAATTAACATTGATAAATTGACTTTTATTGACTTTTCAGAGTTTTAATTAAAATCAAAAAGTATTTTCGAGGAAAAGATACGATTTTATCCTCCAGTACGGCAAACTTATCTGATTTTCGAAAACGCGTCAAAAACAGGCCTGGCGCCTGACTCCAGGAATTGGCGCCTAGAACCAGGCCTGGCGCCAGCCATTGGCGCCTGGTGCTAGCCATTGGCGCCTGGCGCCAATTAGCTGGTGCTGGCGCCAGCTCTGTTTTGCGTGCGCCAACCTCGTTTTGCGTGCGCCAAGTGCTCTGTTTTGATATTTTATCTTTTTGGCTGATTTCTCTATAAATAATGTATTAAAAACTCCGTTTTGGTTCACCCACAATCAGTTTTCATTCGCAATCATTAATTCTCTAATTCTCTCTTTCACCAATTCTCACCTACAATCAGTTTTCATTCGCAATCGTCAATTCTCTAATTCATTCATCCATCTTTCTCTTTTTCTAAAACTTGCTTTTACATACAAAATTCCGCATTCAAGATCTAGAAACACCTAGCCATATTCGAAGTTGCCTTCGCCCTAGGCGTGAAAGGTTTAATTTCTGAGGGTTTTGTCCCAAATCTCTATTTCAATTATTTAATTTAATTGTTTTGATTATTATTTTCCTTGAAGTTACTAACGTGTGTATTTTGTTATTAGAAAGAGGTACGAGGCATCAAAGTAAGTACTTTAATTGGTTTTATTGATATTATGATGTAGAAATCATGTTTACATTGTTATTATGATATTCCTAGTATCATGTCTAGGGTAATTTTAATATGCTTAATATGATTGTTACGATACTTCCTATATTCTTCCTAATATTTATGATTGTTAGTATCATGTTAGGGTTAAAGATTTGATTTTTATTGCTTAGTGACATGCTAGGGTTTGTTAATAATCTTGTCAGTATCATGCATAGGATCTTGCTATTATTATGCTTTAATGTTAACATGAACATGATTATGATTATAATTGTTATAATTTATGATGATTATGAATGTTATTATTATCATTGTTTTGATGATTATTATTTTAATATGACGATTATTATTATTATTATTATTATTATTATTATTATTGTTATAATTTTATGATCATGATTATATTTATTATTTTAATTTATTATGTTGCTTGATGCTATTTATTTGTTATTGCTTGATCACGCCTTTTATGCATGTTTAAAGGGAATTTTATATTTGTCATCACGCTTAATAAGATATTTAATAATCTTGTTTAGGGTTAATATGATTATAATTTCAAGTAATCGCCAATAATAGTTTATTTGTGCATTTATATTCAACCAACATAGATAAACAGGTTTAGGTTAATCCTATTGATTGCATGTTAATCGAAAAGCGCACATGAATACGATCAGAATAAAGTAGAGGCCTATTATTAGGGCAGGTTCAATCTCTTTTAGGTTGGATTTGTACTTTCATCCCCGAACCCTTATTTGGTTCTAGACCTTATGGAGTTGACGATCTCTTGGATCGTTAAGGGGTGTAACCTTCACCCTGTGAATGGTTTACAAGTTCCTAAAACTTGTTGGCGACTCTTTTGCTCTATCTTCTTCCCTTTTGGACGCCACCATACTTTAGTGTATGATCACAGTGGGGTTCAAGCTAGGGGTTTAACGCTTGAAATTATTCCCTACAATAGCCTTAACGTTTGAACACGTGGCGGTAGCACACCAGTAATTTCTCTTGAAATTGTTCAGGTTATATACAGGTTTCTCACAGGTTTTTAAGAGAGAATTATTGGGGTGTTACACAAGAGCTTTCCAACGACTGGTCATAAGCTCGATTTGGTTTAGAATCGAGGGACTTTTGGCTGTTTTAAGAAGAGATGTCCGCGCAGTGCGGGAGTTCGACCGAACTCATGAAAGGTTCGATCGAACCTAGTTGCTTCTGAGTAATTGAGGCAAAATGTGTAGCCTTTTGATTTCTAGAGCAGGTTCGGTCGAACCAAGAAAGAAGTTCGACCGAACCACCTCATGTTTGACCGAACTCTGGGAAGGTTCGGTCGAACCATCGAGCCCCTGTTCAGCAACGCGATTTCTTTTATTTTCGCTCGGGATGTAATCTTAGCCGTTGATCTTCTAGCACTATATATATTCTTGTATTGTCATTGTAGAGAGTATTGAGATGAAGGGAAAGATGTAGAGATAGAGAGAGTCTCATGTAAACCCAAACACTTAGGGTTTGAGTGTTTGAGAGGGTGAGCTTGGGGTGGGAGCTTTAATGGTGATGGAAGCTTGTAATATACATTGTTTTTCATCAAATTGTTACTTTATAGTGGATTAGTGGGTTTTTCTCCCGGTTCTCGGGTTTCCCACGGTAAATTCTCCTTGTCTCGTTTATTGCTTGTTTTTCCGTCTTCGTTGTTGTTAATTGTCGTTAATCGCAAACTTAGCTAGCACGTTCGTAATCCCTTTCACAGCATTCATAGCACATGTAAGGGCGGGAAATAAATCACAAGCCAGCCTAGGAGACTGCGTGGGACATAAAATCATTTCCAATGATATTAACAGGAAAATAGTCCTAAACTCCTCTTCCTCATCTACATCCCATTCACCCTCCAACCTTTCCATCAATTTGGAATTCACAAGTATTCCAACAGAAGTATAAATACGGCCTCCATGCTTGCGCGATATGGTCTTTGAAGATTGACCATATTTTTGTTGTATTTCATTCACCTTCCTTTGCAGATCAACTGACATGGATTTCCTAGTGGGAACAGTTAACCCACCATTTGGGATACATAGAACCCAATGTACCTGATTAGCCGATAACCTAAATTGCTTTCCATCCGGAGCAACTTATTCAACGGATCAATACAACTCATTAACCAATAACCCATTTGTCAGGGCAAATGAATGTCAGTTGGGACTTTCAACAACCCCCTAAGCCAATTTCATTTACCCATCGTGTCCTCCTCTCGTCAAATGTATTGCAAATCCTAGAAAATGTCTCAACTCGACAGTTCATGTTTGGTGGCTGCAATCAAGATTACAGAACACTAGTTTCTTTTAGGACATTAACAAACATGGTACTCTTATTGGTTATTAATACAACTGAATTAATCACATACCCGGCGAAAAATATTACATTGTTGCTTTATAAATTCACCCTTTCCCTTCACTATACCACCAATGCTTAAACTATCATCCTGCAGGCCACCAAGCAATGCATTATTCACTAGTAGAAAAATAGCAATAGGCAGCCCCCAAATGGCACCGGTTCAGGCCAAACCGGTGGCCAAAACCGGTCTAGAAATACTCAAATCATCTGCCACAATATTACATTTCAGAAAAACTTCCAAAATTAACATACCATAAAGACTTCCTTGCTTAAGACTTTCCTCTTAGTATGATTTAATACTTTGTTATCGCCCTGTTCAAAATAAACAAAATACCTAGATTACAACTAAAAAATCTCAAACATTTCAGGTTATCAATTACAGATTCATCTGGGGCATTATAAAACAATGACACTTACCATACTTTCCAATACAAGGCCTCCAACCACCGAAGAAATTATCCTAATTGCTACAAGCTAAACTGCATATTGACAATATTCAAACACATTACTAATAGCTACAATCTAAACTGCATATGGAAATTATCCTATAATACCAACAACCTAAGCCACACATTTCATGTAGCACAAGTTTTTTAGATAGGAATTCAATTGCAAATAACAAACAAACATAAGCTACCACAAAAATATAAAAATTCAATTTCCAAAAGAGACACAACAATGATTCATTGCAATAACAGCGACATTAAAGAAAATTTAATGCATTGCTAAGCTCATTTCAGCAACAAATCTCAAGGAATGCTCATTTCAGCAACTCATCTAAAGGAATTAAATTATACATCACCAGGAACATTAAATCAAACAAGTTCAAATTGAAAATCATACGTCGCCAACAAATTGAAATTCAAGAAAGTCCAAATACGAAAATTAAAGCTTTAAGAATATACTTACAACTCAGGTCAAGTACAACAAGCTACCTCGCAAACACCTCCACGTACAGTACCAGCTAGCACCTCCAAAGGGTTACGTTATGCACTTGCTAACTCCCTCAGCAAAGCCGTGGTGTATTTTCTCACTCTAAGGGTTTCGTTAATGGCCGTTTGGGAGACCATACACCGTTAGTCAACCAAATGAGTCATACAACTCACATTCTAATAATAACCTTTAATTTATAAAGTAAAAAGACGTATATGCCCCGTGAGAAACATATTTCATCTCTCACGGTGATAAATATGAATTTGCTCTTATTATTATTATTATTATTATTTATTATTATTATTATTATTATTAATGTTGTTGTTGTTGTTATTATTATTATTATTATTATTAAAATTATTTTTAATATTAATAATTATTATAATTATTCAAAATAATAAATTATTATCATCAATACAATATTAATTATTATTATTGAATATTAATTATTATTGTTGTTATTATTAATTATTATTTGAAAATTAAGCAGAGCAGAACATAATTCTTTTGAACATAGCAGAGCAGATTTGATTTGAGCAAAGCAGTTCTAAAGAACGGGACCTAAAAGGGGAGGGATTGAAGCCTTGTAGGTAGTATGGTAATTTAGTCAGGTAGTGTAGGCAATAACGTCTAGAGGGGTGTAGATATAACAACAACTAGCCAAATGGGATTAGAGTACAGGAATATGAAGTTCCCTCCTAGTTGGGTTTAAAGTTAGGGTTTTGGCCGGTATCCTTTCCCTCTCCCCGGCACACACACCAACTGAGAAGGAAAGGCAGCATCGAGCTACACAAAGCTGCGAACTTTCAACAGCTAAGTCATTCTCTTTCTTTCTCTTCATTCGATTTAGTTTCAGTTTTTCATTTCAAAAATGTCAGCAAAATGGCGAGCTTTACAGCATCGCCATCGTTTTACCTACAGTGCTGTGAATTTCCCACAATCTTACATGAATTCAATTACCCAATTGCAATCTAATGAATTGTGTCAAAAATTTTGCACTGAATTAACCCATCTTGGTTCCCTTAATTCCATTTATTCTCAAGTTAATCATGTTAAGAATGTTGCTGTTTCATTCAATGATTTGTTGTTAAGAGCTGTTGATGAGAACTTAGTTTCGATTGCGGCGAAATTGTACTTGGAACTTTTATTTCTTGAGAATTCATTGTCTTTGCATAGGACTGTGTTGTCTGTTCTTTCGAAAAATAAGAAGTTCTGGGGTTTGATTGGTGGGTGTTTTAGAGAGCTTTGTGAGGAGTATGGTGTGTTGTGTGGGAAAGGGAAGCGGTTTTGTGTGTCGAGGGTGGCGTTGTCGATGATGAGTACCCCAAAGTTGGGGTACTTAGTGAATGTTGTGGAGGAGTGTTGTGTGCTAGTGGCTTTAGATAGTGTTACTGGATTGAATTATGTGGTTGCTGAGACAAATGGGTCGGCACGACCTTCGCCTCTTGTGATGGAGCAATGCCAGGAGGCTTTGTCTTGTATGTATTATTTGCTTCAGCGGTTTCCTTCAAGAATCGTTGATTCCGGTAGCTCTCAATCTGGAATGGTCCCTAATGGTTCTAGTCTTTCAGAAATGATTGTTGCAGTCATTGTAGAAATACTCAAATCATCTGCTTTCTCGAGGGACTGTTATGTGGCAGCTGGTGTGAGTTTATGTGCTGCATTTCAGGTGTTGCTTAATCCTCAGGAGCTTGGATATCTCATTATGGAAGGTGTTTTTGAAAGGAAAATATGTAGTTTGATAGATCATTCAGATACGGAGTTTAAGAATGCTTTAAGTAAAATTCCGTATAATGGAGATTTGTGTTTTGAACTCCGAAAATTTTCCCCATTAAGTAGACTTTGCTTCATACGAGGGGTCCTTACTGCAGTTTCAAGAATAGTGCTCAATTTTTGTTTTGTTGTAAAAACAGAGGGAATTGAAATTGACGGTGCTGATGAAAATGGTAATAGATGTATACAGAGTATATTGTATGACTGTATATTGCCTGAGCTTTGCAAGTACTGTGAGAACCCTAATGATAGCCATTTTAACTTTCATGCTTTGACCGTGATGCAGATCTGTTTGCAACAGATCAAAACATCTATTATGTCTGATCTTGTTGATCTTGAAACTGAGTTTGAACCGATCCCAAAGGATTTAGGAGCTCGTGTACTCAGAATTATATGGAATAATCTAGAAGACCCCTTAAGCCAAACTGTGAAACAAGTTCATCTTATTTTTGATCTCTTCTTAGACATCAAAGCCACTAGCTACAAGGGTGATAGTCATGCAAATTTTAATACATTCTTAGGGAAGATTGCAGCTGATCTTCTTTGTCTTGGTGCTCGGTGTAAAGGTAGGTATGCTCCTCTAGCTTCTCTCACTAAGAGGTTGGGAGCCACAACTCTCCTTGGCATGAGCTCTAATTTGCTATTTGAAGTGGTACAGGCATACATAGACGACGATGTGTGCTCTGCAGCCACATCTTTCTTGAAGTGTTTCCTTGAGTGTTTGCGTGATGAGTGTTGGGGTAGCAATGGTGTTGGAAAAGGGTATGAGATATATCGAGGTCATTGTTTGCCTCCATTTCTTTATGGACTTGCTTCCGGAGTCTCTAAGTTGCGCTCAAATTTGAACACGTATGCTTTGCCAAGTTTACTGGAAGTGGATGTTGATAGTATATTTTTTATGCTCTCCTTCCTCTCAATTGGTGTTGGAGTTGATACTGGCTTGGTATTTGCAGAACTGAGCTGTTTGGGCATTTCATTTGGTATTGAGCAGAAAGTGGCTGTTTTGGTCTCTTTGCTTAAAGTATCTCGTTCACTTGCACTGTTTGATGGGGATATTGAGTCTAGTCATAATCTTGCATCTGCTGCTGAAGAGTGCAAGCTTGAAGAAGAACATGCTTTAATCTATTTGAAGGGAATTCCTGTTAACATTCCAGCTGAGTGGCTTGCGTTGGCATTGACTCATGTGGATGAGTCACTTCGTGTAGATGTGGCTGAGACACTTTTCTTGAGCCCTAAGACGGCCAGTCTACCTTCATCCTTAGAACTCAATCTGATGAGAGTAGCAGTGCCTTTGAACATGAGATGTTGCTCAACAGCTTTCCAGATGAAGTGGGCCAGTATATTTAAGAAGTTCTTTTCTAGGGTTCGTACAACATTAGAGCGACAAATAAAACAGGGGACATGGCAACCATCTGACTGGGAGAAAAATGATGTATCCTCCCCGTATAAGAGTGGTGATGCAATCATTGTTAGCCGAGCAGATAACCTATATAACTTTATGAAATGGTTGAGTTGCTTTCTGTATTTCTCATGTTATCCTTCTGCTCCTTATGAGAGAAAAATCATGGCAATGGAGCTAATTATGATAATGGTAAATGTTTGGTCCATAGTACCTCCGCTGGAAGGAAACTCTGATGTTCTATCTATTGAAAATCTATATATTTTTAGTGAAGGACTTACCAGACCCGATTCAACAATGTTATTAGTTGGCTCAATAATTGATAGTTGGGATAGACTGAGAGAGAGTTCTTTCCGCATACTTTTAAGTTTCCCCACACCTCTCCCTGGAATCTCAAGTGAAAACAAGGTGCAAGAAGTTATATTATGGGCAAAAAAGTTGGTTTGCAGTCCACGAGTCAGAGAAAGTGATGCTGGGGCTTTGGCTTTAAGGCTTATATTCCGTAAGTATGTTCTGGATCTTGGTTGGATTATTGGAGCTTCAGGAAATGTTACTTGCCACAAATTAGAGGCTGAATCCCGAAATGAGGAACATCAAAGTTCGGAATCCAAACTCCCACTTATTCTATATATTAATTCACTTATAGATTGGTTGCAAGCTGCTGCAGAGGAAGGAGAGAAGGATCTATTTGAAGCCTGCAAGAATAGCTTTGCTCATGGTGTCTTACTTGCTTTGAGATATGCCTTTGAGGAATTAGATTGGACCTCTGATGTAGCCATGTCGGGCATTCCTGAGATGAGAGGTGCATTGGGGAAACTCCTGGAGTTGGTGATGCGAATAACAACACTGGCACTTGGGGTGGTTTCTGCTGATGCTTGGCATCTGCCTCAAGATATGGATGACATTGAGGAGGATCTTTTGGAATGTCTAGATGAGATAGTTACACCATCATCTGTAGTGGAATGTGAAGCAAAAGATTTGAAGGAAAAAGAAGATGTTAGACCAGCAGAGCAGATTGTTATGGTTGGTTGTTGGCTGGCTATGAAAGAGGTATGTTCTCTCATCATTATGAAGTTTTATAATTTTAGTGTGATGGGATTATTTCTCTAAGTTGCCTCTTATTAAACATTTATCTTCATTACTCATCGGGATTTAAACAGGGTGTTTGGTTCAAGAACCCTTAGTGTGAGATATGGATTTAGAATGGTCAAAGGTTGATAATTTTAAGAACCTTAAATCCATACCTCAAACCCTCAAGGTATGGTGTTTAGAGACCTATTGGGGGAGGTGGGTTTGGCACTTTGGCTTGTAACAACACTTGAGGTATCAAATAAAAGGAAAAAAAAATCATTCGATACTTTGGTTCAAAAATCAGTTTACAAATCAAAACCATCCTGTTTTCATTCTAGATATCAACCCTATAATACTCTGCAAACCAAATGCCTCCCAAGGGATTTATATGATTATGATTTGAAATTTTTCAAGATTTTCTGTAAGAGTAGGAGATATTATTTTCCTGTTTCCCCCCACTTAGTATTGCACTATCAACTCTTTTACACAACACACACTCAACGCACGCGTGCACACACACATACACACAATCACACACATGTATGGGGAGGGCGGAGGGAGAGGTGAGAGGAAAGAGTAAAGCTGCATTTTTCAAGGATATCACGGGAAAAAGGAAAAGGAAAAACATATGCATTATCCTTTGAACAATGGACATCATAATGTGTTACAATTATTTTAAGGACCTTAAATCTTTTATTTTCAGGTCAGTCTTCTTCTTGGAACCATTATTAGAAAGATCCCGTTGCCAGTTGCTACATCCATTGGTGAAGGATCTGCTGATGCTGCAATGGATCATTTGTTGCCCACTTCTGATGCAGTTCTTGATGTGAGCCAACTAGAGGTTATCGGGAACCACTTTTTGGAAGTGCTCCTTAAAATGAAACATAACGGTGCTATCGATAAAACAAGAGCCGGATTTACTGCACTCTGCAATCGTTTGCTCTGTTCTGATGATCCAAGGTCTGTTGGTTTGCTAACTTCTATAGAGTATATTTGAATGCATAATGTTTACACATTGTTGTTTGAATTTTGATCTGATCATGATTAGATCCAGAATTTTGTAGAAAAGTTATGGTGCCATACTGGTGCCCTGTGTTAGTGTGCTCTGTCTGGTTGTCTCCAAGTCATCGCCTAAATACTTCTTAGGCCCTGTTCTCTTGAATATATATGTATATTCAGTAAAAGTCAGTTTGGATTTTATGAAATGAAGATTTAATAAGTCAAAGTTAGTTTAACCAGTAAAAATTAGTTGTGTTCAGTAAAAAAACAAATTTATCTGTGTGAATCAGTTATTTTATTAGACAACTACAGTAGTATATCAGTGAATTATTTTTACTCTGTATTTCATAAAAATCAGTTGCAAACAGTAAAGATATGTTCTAATCAATCCATAAAATTCAATTTTAATCTGTAAAATAGAATAATTCCCGTACCTTAAAAAATTAGGTGAAGAGAACAAGGCCTTAGTGCCCCTTGGGGAATCAAGAACCACTATGTAGAAACGATCATTTGTTATTGTGTGTGTGTGCACACTCTTGGTGTAGACAAAGTTGGGACTGCATAAATTAGGATATATAATAATTGCATCTGTTTGGGGCACATGTTTTACCCTTGAACTGGTGTTGCATTTGTTTTATTTATTATAAAAGATATAAGCGAGTCCATTCTAAAGATAGGAACATCATGACACTGCATCTTTTGTCAACTTGGTAATCCTTGTTCCACTTTTGCTAAATCTCAATCTTTTCTCATCTATCTCTGGCTTTGTCTGCTCAAGTTTGATAGTACAAACCCTCTTACTCTTTTCCATGTAGACATTTGATTGTTCGGGAGGTAGAACTATTGATGTTTCACATTGTCTGAAGCTACCTTTTTTTATTAGAAGATAACGTCTGTCGTATGAAGATTATTGGACATACGTTCATCCAATTCTTGTAAAAATTGGTTTCACGCTATGTATTGCTTAAATGTTGAAATAGTTATCTTAGACGTGTTTGATAACTAATTGTAATGTTGTATAATGAATATACTTCTGAACAATCTTCTTCTGCAGGCTTTGTCAGCTGACAGAATCTTGGATGGAACAGCTTATGGAAAGAACTGTGGCTAAGGGACAAACAGTAGATGACTTGCTCAGAAGAAGTGCAGGTATACCTGCTGCATTCAGTGCGTTCTTTCTCTCAGAGCCACAAGGTTCACCTAAAAAGCTGCTCCCATGGGCACTCCGCTGGTTGATAGAACTGGCTGGTGGGTCATTGCTTGATCAAGCTGAACCAAACATAGTTGATAAATTGCAAAACAAATCAATTGGTGTATCAGATGGAGAAAATGGCTTTATGCAGAGAAATGATATCAATGAAAACTTAACATCTGCAAAGATTCGTGTTAAAGGTGTTATTCCAACTGTGCATGCTTTTAATGTTCTCAAAGCAGCTTTCAATGATGCCAATTTAGCAACTGATACATCAGGCTTCGCTGCGGAAGCTATGATAATCTCCATACGTTCTTTCTCTTCTCCACATTGGGAAATTCGTAATAGTGCATGCCTTGCATACACAGCCTTGGTCCGCCGAATGGTTGGGTTTCTTAATGTACATAAACGAGATTCAGCAAGGCGTGCTCTTACTAGTCTGGAATTTTTTCACAGGTAAAAGAACCAAATCCCTTACCAGCTTTACTATTCAATTTTGCATGATAATATATGCTTTCTTTTTAGATCTTGTGGTTGTTTTGCTCATGTGTATTTTTCTGATTGCTGCCTTCTTTCCTTCCCTCCGTATCCAACCTTTGTTTTTTTGTTGTCTATTTGTGTGACTGCAATGATACTTTCTGCCCCTCTGGTCCCTCTCGTTTGCTTCGTGTTGCTCTAGTATTAAAGTTTCATTATCTTGCTTGTGCAATTGTGTTGTGTTGTCTTTTGAGATTTCTTAGGCCATTTGCTCCTTTGGTTTCTTCCCTGCTGCTTCTTTTTTCTGCCCAACCCCATTTTTCTTTGCTCATTGTGTACGTGTGTGATTCCATTTAATGCAGGTACTGCATCTGCATTCCCTTTTTCTCTGTGTTGCATTAGCGCTTTACTTTCATTACGGAGTATCTTACTTCTACAGTTGCTACTCTTCCGTTCCTTTCATCATCCTCAAAGCAACTTTCAATGATGCTATTAAAATTAAAATTGTTCTGTTCCTTTTTTTTTTTTTTAATTAAAATGGTTTATTATATGAAAGTCATATGACATCTAGTGTAGAAATCAAAACCTAGTACATATAAATTGGATAAAATAAAGTATAATTGTTGTAGATGAAATCTGAATGAATAGTCTACTTCATATTGCTGTTTTATAAAATTATCCTCCAGGGGGTCCATCAAAGTGTATATGTAGACAAAAAATTGACATTTGCTTGAATCTTAGATCTCTGCCAGCGAATCAATTTGTAGCCGAATATGAAAAATAATAACCCTTAAACTCCCCAGCACCATCGCAAAGCAGTCCTCCTGTTTTGCCATCATTGTTTTTACAAGTAGATGCACTTTTGTCTGTGTACATTCATTGTTGTTTTCTAGCGAGCAACTAATTAAATCTTTCTTTTATTCAGGTATCCATTATTGCATTCATTTGTATCTAACGAACTGAAAGTCGCCACTGAGTTTTTACTAGGTGGACAATCAAATTCTAACCTGGCTAGCATTGTTCACCCTAGTTTATGCCCTGTGTTGATCCTGTTATCAAGGCTTAAGCCTTCACCCATTGCAAGTGAAGCAGGAGATTGCTTGGATCCTTTCCTATTCATGCCATATATACAAAGGTGCTCAACTCAAAAAAATATGCGTATTCGCGTGCTTGCGTCGAGAGCACTGACAGGTCTGGTTTCTAATGAGAAATTGCATTTGGTCTTGCTTGATATTGCCTCTGGGTTGCCAAATTCTGTTAATCAAACAGAAACAACACATAATCACTGTGCACGCTCTTCTGTTCAGTTTAACGCCATCCATGGGATACTCTTACAGCTAAGTGCTCTTTTAGATGCCAATTGTAGAAACCTTGCTGACTTTTCGATGAAAGATATGATTCTCTATGACTTAATCAAGACACTTGATAAGTGTTCATGGATTGGAAATCCCACATTATGTTCATGTCCTATTCTCAATGCGTCTTTCCTGAAGGTACTTGATCACATGCTCAGTATTGCTGGAACACGCCAGGCAAGCAAAAATTATGATGTCATTTGCAACTTACTGTCAAAATTATCTTCAGAGTGCTTGGTTGTAGACTCTGAATCATCATTTCACGATCCAACTGCTGCGGAACTTCGCAAACAAGCTGCGATTTCTTATTTTCACTCTATTTATCTATATGAAGATCATGCTGTGGAAGGAATCTCAATGCCAAAGAAGTCTTCTCCTGCTATCATGCTGAAAGCAAATTCTTCAGTTGATAATGGTTCTGGTGGTGTTGAGGGAAGACTAACCTGTTACATGTCAGATGCTTCATATGAAGTGCGTCTTGCAACATTAAAGTGGCTTATCCAGTTTGTTAAGACTACTGCGATAGAGTTAGGTGATGTTGAAAATGGCAGTTACGTTGCAGCAATTGCACATTGGGCAAAGGGTAATTTACAAACAACTTTGATTAGACTCTTGTCATCGGAAACTAATCATAAGTGTCGCTATTATATTCTTAGGATTATCTTTGCTTGGAACCTGTTGCATTTTCAAAAATCGAGTGGTAAATGTTCTGGAGACAATGTCTATATTGGAGAGATGGATTTTGATTCAGTTGTGCTGTTTTGGAATAAATTGGTTTCTATACATGATTCTGTGAGACATACAAAAACTCTAGAAGCGCTCATATGCTGCTTTGGATTATGCATAAAGCGCTTTTCTAGTTTTCTTTGCAGCATTCTTCCCAATGTTAGCAATGGGAAACCAGAAGAGGTGAACAGATGCGCCCTTATATGTGGATGGATCAAACATTTTGTTTGCCTTATCAAGCTATATAGTGATGCATCTCAGCAAGTGAATTTGCGCAAGGCTGCTGCAGAATCAGTAGTGGCATCTGGGTTGTTGGAACAGGCTGAATATATCAGTTCATTTGTCACCAATGGTGGCATTCCTTCTGAAAACTGCGAACAGCAGTTTGAGCCACCGAATTCTGCTAACATGTTGGGTTATCTGATATTAGATATCTGGTTCACATGCATTAAGTTACTGGAAGATGAGGATGTTTTCATCAGAAAGGAGCTTGCGTTGGAGGTACAAAAATGTTTCCCTCCAAAGTTTAGGGGCCAAACTCTTGCAGTTGTGGTTCCTGCTCAGGTGGAAAGAGTGCTTGAACTTTGCTTTGAGTTCCTTTCGTTGAACTTTGGCCATTGGGACAGGTACTTTGATTATCTTCTGAGGTGGATATCAGATTCTGCGAGCTACGTCGTGCCCAAGGGTGATCTTGTCCGACGGGTTTTTGACAAGGAAATTGATAACTATCATGAAGAGAAATTGCTTATTTGTCAAATTAGCTGTTCTAATTTGGAAAATCTCAAGCTTTCAACAACTGAAGGACCCAAGCTACTTACTTATTTGAGGAAATGGAGGGGTCACTTCTTCCGTCAGTTGTCGGTTGCTTGCGAGCATATAAGGAAGCTTGAAGGAGATGATTGGATCGGTGGTGTGGGGAACCACAGGGATGCGTTTCTACCTTTATATGGAAATCTTCTTGGCTTCTATGTCCTTTCGAAGTGCATTTTACAAGCAGGAACTGAAGACAGCATGTATCTTCTCTCGGATGTTGTTGAACTAGAGAAGTCCATCAGACCATTCCTCACTAATCCTTTGATCTGCAACTTGTACATCGTAGTTGTTAGACTACATGAGGAAATGGTTGGAGCTTCGGCTAACCATTTGATCCCAGACTTGCTGAAAGATATTCAGATTTGGGATAGTTTCAATCCTTATTTTCTACTCAGGTGACAGCTTTATTTGCTGAATAGTATACATACTCTATTATTTTCTCATTGTTTCCCAGATGAAGTAGTCATTTCCTGATCATACGGCGATGTACAATGTAGTCAAGTTTTGAAATTTTGAATATAAAGCTACGCCCTCATTGTTTTAATCCGAGGCTGCAAATTTGCTTAATTTTGGTGCAAAGACTGCTGTAAATGCGTAGCCCTTTTGCTCGGGTTACTGAGTTTCAGGCTATAGAGGATTTATCCCAATAATTACATGTGACATAGTAGAGCTAATATGAAATTATGTTCAAATTTATGGTACTATTTTTTTTTTTTTGAAACAAAAATTTTTTGTTACTATTGTTCTCTCTTATATGTGCTAAATGTAATGGTGGCTTAAATTGTTTTAGAGGGTAAAATGAAAACCGCTAGGAAGCTGTCTCTTAATGTATTTGGAGGTTAGATCACTATCTCATCTAGGGATGGCAATCTAGTCCGGATCCAACCCTAATCTGCCCCGATCCGAGGTAAAATACCCGCTCCGGGTCCGAGAAAAAAGTAATCCGAGTTCGACTCCGTTAAAATAATCCGACTCCGAGTCGGAGGAGGGTCGGAGTCGGATCCTACAAAAAAATCCGAGAAAAAAATCCGACTCCGACAAATGTCCGACTTTAACGGATTATCCGACTCTGACTCCAATAGATAGTGATTTTTTGTGTGGATCATGGCGGCATTGGGTGTGGGTTGTAAAGGCCTAAATAGCCCAACATCTCAAAGTATAATGAATAATGAAAAAAAAAAACTCGGAGTCGGGTCAGATCGGAGTCGGAGTCGGAGGTCGGATATTGAAGTCGGAGTTAGATGTCGGATGTCGGAGTCGGATGTCGGATTTAACCTCCGACTTCTTGTCGAGTCGGAGTCGGATTTAGCATAATCCGCTCCGAGTCCGACCCGTTGCCATCCCTAATCTCATCATACCATCATTGCTTGGCCAATTTTGCATTCTAGTGCAAGTACTTGTATACCACTATTACAGTATATAACATGGTTTGTTAATTGTTACATCTAGAGCTGTCAGTTTCTAACTCGAACCGTTAAACCCGACTGTTTCGAATTGATCCGAAAAGGAACTGAACTGTTTAAAACCGGTTTTTTGGAAACCGAAAACTGACCTTGTTTTGGGTGTTTTTGTTCCTCGGGAGAGTTACAACACGAAGACTGATCCGGGGTGAGCTGTACCTGCAAAACAAACGGAGACACCAGTTGGGTGGTGCTCCGCCTCCGACGCACAAGTTAGAAACTTGAAGGGTGAAAAAGGTGCGGAAATTTAGGTAGGGATCTGCTCGGATTCCAAGCTCAGGATGTCTCTATCAAAGAGTAAATGTGTAATAAATGATAAAACGTGCCCTCAAAATGAGGGACATCTCCCTATTTATAGGGTATTTGGGAATTGTGCCCCTGATTAGGTTACTGAACCCTAATCATTGGTGGGCTGCGCCGTTTGGCGGCATTCTCGGGATTTGGGCCTGAAGGCCGCCTTTTCCCTTGATTTCGGGAATGACACGTGTCGAGTAGGGATTGGTCCATTTCAGACCAATCTGGGGCTGACACGTGTCACCTTCTGATTGGGCCACGTGGCAGGGTAAAATTACCCTAAAAATTTGCCCCTCACAGATGTGATGTGGCACGCCACATGGCATCTGTGACACATGTCACGCTCCGGTTGGCGGTAATTTTACCGTTACAGAGTAACCGTTCACCTTCCGGGTAAATTACGGAAATGCCCCCAAATTTACCCTCTATATATAGCCGTTTTACCCTAATAATTTTGTACGTTTACAAAAAATTCCTAGAGAGAAAAACTTTGAGAGAGCAGAAGTCACTTGTTTGAGTCAGACGTGAGCAATAAAGTTTGTTCTTCAGCAATACAGCCGGTCCCACCTACGTTCAGATACCAAATCAAAAGGTACCGTCTCTGTCTCTCGCAGCTCTTTTCTTTTTTCACCGCTTGTACATATTTCTTGCAATAAATGGATGCATCACCAACACACACGGCACAACCTAGGTTAGAGTCCAGCCGGTCACCAGGGTCGGTGAGTCTAGGATTGGGAGTGCCGGCTCGGGGTGTTGGGACCACCATTTGCCATGGATTCCGACCAGTTATGTGTCTGTGCAGGACACCATGGCTCGGACAATGCAGACGGCCACGGACCCGAATTACAAGAGCGAAGGCTCAGGCGGCCAAACGCCTGAGGGAGAAACGTCTGGTCAGGGAAACCAGACGGCTCTAGAGAGATCCCCTCCGCGCGCCCCTTCAACCTTCGCAGACTCTTTTTTGGAAGAGTGTGACCAAGGCGGCGACGAGGCCGCCTCTGCCCCCATGGACCAAAGCGAGGGGGAGACGGAGAGTGACAGCTTCGCCTCTAGCTCCGAGAGCAGCGATGACTTGCCCCCTCTTCCGGATAGCGAGGAGGAAGAAAGGAAAAAGTGGAGTGAGAAGGACGATCCCTTCAGCATCCACGTCTCCTCCAAGGACCGAATCCAGATGGGGGAGAACTTAGAGAATTTTAAGAAAATGCACCCGCTAGGAGACGGGTATAAGATCCGGGTGCCGCCTGAGCTGGGAACCATCGCCTGGGGGGATGATCAAGAGAACGCCAACAACTATTTTGGCTGTTATGAGGCGGCGTTCAAAGCCGGCCTTCGCTTCCCCCTTCACCAGGCGGTGAAGGCAATTTTGAGAGGCTACCACCTTAGGGTCTGGCAACTTACCCCCAACTCCTGGACCAACATTCTGGGGTATGTTGCCGCCTGCGAGTTCCAAGGGCTTAACCCCGGCTGGGAGGCTTTTGCAAGCATGCATTACCTCAGCAGAAGCCTGGGCGGCTGGAGGGCGTGGTATACTCTTACCACACAGCCGCAATACATGATGACCTTAGACAAGGTCTCAAAGTTCGATGGCTGGAAGCACAGGTTCTACCTGATGTCAACCCCAACCAGACGGGAAAATTATGAATTCTGTCTGTACAATAAGAAGCCTGACTTGTTGGGCAGGAAGTGCGCTCTTCCCCAGATCCCAGAGGAAGACTTTGACAAAATAATCGAGGCAGACTTTTTCAGCCTCACAAACGCAACTCTGTCAACCGGGGAAACAATAAAAGTCCCTAAGAATTGGATTCCCAAGAGCGCCTGGTTTAGGGATAGGGCGCATGTTTAATAAACGTATGCGCCTGAGCTCACACCGTCTGTAGTATTTTTCTATCGGAATTGATTTATGATTTTGACCAATTTCTTTCTTTTTGCAGAAGAAGCACTAAACATGTTGCAGTCGGAGAAAACTCCCAAGCGGTCTTCTGCGACCATCCGCAAAGATCTTGCGGAGAAAGCTGCGGCCGAGCTCAGGGCCAAGATATTGAGCGCCTGACCCTTTCTTAAGTTTATTTTATAAACTGTCTTGCCCGGATACTAACCTTGACTTGTTTATTTTCACAGGGGGGGAGAAGTTGGGAAATCGTTTGAGAAGAACCTCAAACGGGCTAAAGAGGAGGCTCCAGCCGCTCTTAACAAGATAAAAAATTCCGCCTCTGCGTCAACTCCTGGCGCCTCAGCCGGGGCTAAGACGATGCGGATATCGGGGCGACTCGAGAAGGTAGGCGGCAACGTGTGCCTTGATCTTGTCAACCCCTTATCAGCAGCCGCGGGGTTCACCACGCCTGCAAGCGTTTCCCGCTTGGCCGGCTCTAAAGGTAAGAACCCTTTTGAATCCCTGCTTGAGCTGGGGTGGCCTTTACGGGTGAAATCCCACTCCCAACAAACGTCATCCTCAGACGGTCGGCAACAAATAGGTGCTGCCTTAGTTTCGCACTCATCACGTATTGATTGTGGTGCAGATCAATCTCAGCGCTGGCCAGACGTCCAGAAGCATGCAAGGCCATGCTGGAGGCCGTCCGGAAGAGGCATAAGGACAATATCCCTGGGATAGAGACGTTCAACCTTGAACGCATTCTATCCCTTCTGGCTGAGGCAAGAAACTTGTCAATTCTATTTTTATTTTTTCCAAGTGTTTTATCCCGCCTATAATTCTTATACCGCCTGCTTTTTTGCAGGCCATGCTGCGGGTGGACGGGCTCAAACATCCTTATTCCCGCAAACGGGAAGAGGTAAAAAGGGCCAAGAAGTCCGCCATAGACGCTGATAATATTGCTTTCCACTCGACTATCGTAAATGAACTTGAAACTAAAGCAATAATTATGACACAAGCGTCTAAAATCCAGCAGCTGGAGCTAGATCTGAAGGCGGCCGACCAGCGGGCAACGGATGCTGAGACGACCAAGAAGGGGGCGGAGGAGGCCCAGAAGAAGGCAGATGAGAGCGCCAAACAGGCTGATGAGGCGCTCAAGAAGGCCCAGGCGGCCTTGGAAAACTGAAGACCAAGGTTGAGAGGCTGGAGAAGGATGCTGCTCAAGCTCAGTAAAACTTTGCAGCAACCCTGGAGGCGGAGCAAAACCGCCTTGTTGCTGAGAGTGATGCTGACAACGACGCCCGTATGAAGATTGCTTGGGCTGCCTTGTACCCAGACGCTGATTATAGCATCTGGGCAATGGCACACAGCTATGCCGAGTACGTGGTGTACTTGAGAGAGCAAGGCGAGCCAGAACCTGCCTCCTGGTCACGGAGAAGCGCACCAAATTGCCTCAGATGATGAGGAGAAGGGGGAGAACCAGGAGGCTCCGTCTGCAGGCCAGAAGTGACCCCTCAGCAGCAGTATGCCAGTCTTTGCTTTTTTAATTTTCTTCAGCGGTTGTATGCCAAAACTTGCTTTTTCCGGCCTGCGTGCCGAGTATTTGTGTTTTTACCGGCTATGGAGCCGGGTTAATTAACAATTTCTTTCTCCCGGATGGGGTCCGGTTAACATTTGATCCATTACAACCGTTTGGTTGGATGGACTTTTATGAATTGCACCGACTAAGTCGGTTTTGATCATTTTGCATTTGAATTTTTGTTTTTTGCAAATTTTAATTTTTGCCTATCTTATCAAAAGCATGCAGCGATTTCTTGCCTAGCTAGTCAATAGCCTGGCTGTCCTTGCCCCTGGACGGCTGTGTGATTGGTTTCAAGTGGAGTTGGTTGATTGACTTGAAAACGTCTGATGCTGCAAAGAGCATGATATGTTTGTAAGTCAATCAATCACAGTAGTGATTGCCCCAAACCAAGTGCACAGCCGTACACCAACAGGCGTTTCGGTCACTACACAGACGACATATGTCCGT